AACAACATTGCATAATAATACAACAATAAAACAAAACACTTAGGTACATCACATAATTTTAAAAAATTAAAATAATTACATTTAAAAAAAAAGTAAATACGGAAGAAAAAAAATTTAAAATTTTTTTACAAATTTTATTTTAAAAAATAAATAAATAAAATAATAATAATATAATATAATATTAAAACCGGGTCGAGTAGCGGATCCGGACCGGGTCGGAACCGACCCGGGTCAACGGATCCGATGCAGGGCGTTGACCCGGGTCGGATCAGCTGATCTGGGTCGGTCGGAATCGACCCGGGTCAATGGATCTGACCCAGAGCGTTGACCCGGGTCGGGTCAGTTGATCCGAGTCGGAACCGACCCGGGTCAACAGATCCGACCCAGGGCGTTGACCCGGGACGGGTCGGTTGATCCGGGTCGGGTCAACCCCGAGTGCACAAACACGCGAGGACGCCGGCGGAGCCAAAATTGGCCTTCCGCCGGCCGACCCAGACCGGCGCCGGCCCCAAATCCGGCCTCTAGGACCGTCCCCGAGCTTCCTCCGCCGTCCACTTACCGTCCGACGCCCCTCTCGCCGGCCGGCGGCCAAAAAACAAACCAGGCTCCTTGAGACATTTCATCGAGCACGTGGGGGGCACAACCAAAAACGAGGGACTTCGACCTCTTCCGGCGACCCGGTCGGCTCCATTGGAGAGCGTCAAATCCTCCTCCTATTTTCAAGCTCCACAGAAATGCATCTTTCCCAGTGGATGTAATGCCAGGACAAGGAGGCCTTGAATGGAGGATTTGTTGAGAGAGAGAGAGAGAGATGGTTATGAGTTAATGGGAGAAGAGAGATGGAAGGGAGAGAATGGGGGATTTATAAGAGGAAGAGAGCCGGGTCAGAGGGGTGACAGATTTTGATTCTGTTGATTTGGGTTCCTCTTCATCTTTTGGACAAGGAAATTTTGGTTGTACTAGGCCCCCTTTTTTTCCTCTTTTTTCTTTATATTGTGAACAAAAATAATTTGTCTTTGCTTCGTTTTGTCTTGATAAGTAAAAAAAATACTTACTTTTGGCTTTCCGCTTTCATTAAGGAAATATGTTTGAATTTCCCAAGAAATTATGCTAAAGAATACACAATTTATAAATGACTATAAATTTATTGGCCAATTATACCTGCCAGAAAAGACTTCGAATATCGAAAATATTTTTATATTTTCAAAGGTTTGAGATTTCACTTTGAAATCTCAATTACTAAGAGGGAAAAGAATATCGAAAGTTTGAGATTATAAAAGTGAATGTCATTCTGACACACTAAACAATAAAAACCCTATCCATACAACTATCTTTTACAAAATAATTTTTGCCTAATGTGACGAGAATATGATTTTTTTCACAAAATAGGTCCCATGGTCTTTTGAGATTTTCAAACCACGACTGATAGACTACCAAAGTGGTGGCCCTGGTGACATCAGATTGGACCTGCATGTGGAACATTACAATAATGTTTAGAGAGTCGCCAGTGCTAATCGCTCATTTTCACTCTTTTCCATCATAAAAAGATTGGAAAAAGAAACTACATATCGTAGTACATAATGTAGTTTAATTGAGTTCCTCACTTGCCCAAAATCTAATCTTATTGATTTATAATCTACCTGAGGATTTTAACTTGGTCAACTGATTTGGAATCTCAATTACAAGCCTTAATAGATTGACAAAGACTTATGATTCAACGCACCAATCATTCAAATCCAATTTGTCTTCTTTTGGTCATCACTCACGATTGAATCCGATTAGGACTCGGTCACAATTGTGCAGAAGTCGAGAGATTTCTAACTCGAAAATGTCACATATTTAAATTTCACCAAGTGCTTGTAAGATGCCTCTTATTTAGGACCACTCACGCAGGCAAAGACCTGGACTTAGAGTGCGTTCGGCAAATACACGTACCATTTGACAAATTTTGTGAAGAGTTTTATGGAGATGCAATTGCATTTCCAAAAGCCTCTAAAGGCATTTTGCCTAAGGCACGTCCAAAGGTGCTTTGGGTTTTGAGCATTTCTAGAATGTTAATACATTTTTTTTCTACCAACTTTGTCTCGTTAAACTTTCATAATTCTAGAAATGTCCTCACCTCGCACGACGTCGCCGGCGAGGCCAAAACTGGCATCGGCAACTAAGTGGCCTGAGGTCACACCAGATCTAGCTCGTTGGCCACAGAGCCCTTAGTACAAAGTGTGATATTTCCTAACACCATTTAAACCAAAGTTGCTTCTCAATACACTTTTAAATTATAATTTATTAAACACTACCTACATTTCGAAAAATTCCTTCAACCTAAAGGCATTTGCATTGTCCCAAAAACTTTACCCAAAAGCCAAATCAAACGCACCATTAACCGGTTATGAGAACGGTAGTCGTGCCCTTTGCGCCTGTGTTTCGGATTATAAAAAAAAAAAGTAATATTTCGGAACTACACAAAAATATCCGCAGGCTCACTTAAAGCTAGAAGGAAAAAAAAATCTATTAGCATCCGGACAAAAAACCTGGAAAAAATCTAAAAGATTATATTGCGGCTAGCTTAGGCGACATTGGTACAATTTAATACATAGTCCCTGAATAATGCGAATGGTTTGTTATGTTTTGTTATGGTTGCACGTGGGACGTCGCACGTGTCCATCTCAGCCCCGGCCTGCAGCGCGATGTTCTCTTTTAAAAATCTGTCGTTTCATCGGCCAAAACCAATAAAGAAAAAACGTATTGAAAATCAAAATTGATGAATATATATGTGAAATTCATGAAATTACGCTAAAATCGCACCTTTTATCATCGATTTTTTTTAGGGCTAATACCACGAAAAACGCCAAATCGGTAAATTTGTGATAAATTTACCCCAAACTAATTTTTTAACCGCGAAAAAATCAAACCGGTACACTCGTGACAAATTTACTTTTCGTTAAATTAGATTAATACCACGAAAAATCACAAACTGGTAAACTTGTGACAAATAGAGAGGCAAAACCCTAAAATGGTACATTTATCAATTGCCACGTGTCATCTAACTCAGCAATTAAAATTTTAAGGAAACTAACGGACAATAAATTTGTCACGGGTGAACAAATCTGAAATTTTTAATGGTCAAAAAATTAGTTTAATAAACCCAAATTCAGGCCATGCCACAATGCCCATAAATCCGCTTGAACATAATGAAATATACCCACAAACGCAGTAAATCTTCCGCATTTGGATCATTCTTATCAGGTTAAGCTTAAGTGTATTATTTAGTTGAACTATTATCAACTAGGACAATCTATAATCTAACAAATTAATTTATCAGCAATGGTATGACTATAGTGCCAAGTTCGTAACCAATTCCAAATACAAACTTAATGCCCCAAATGAAATGACGATATATTTTACAAATTTGATGATGTGATCTATCATATTTTGAGCTGCGTATTCGAAAGATTATATGAAATATGATTAATTTGGTTCAACAGACCTCGTCTATATAAATACTTGCTCGGAGATAAGGTCCGGGTAGGCCATTTCCATTGGTGACTACATCCCTTCTGAGAAAATTTCACTTGTCGGAACATTAACCTGACTAGCTCTATGCGAGGAATTAGTGTTTATGCTTTTAAATTTGCTTCGACAAGTATGGAGCAAAAAGTGAAAAGTAACTAAAATATCACGTTTGTTTGTTACAAGCACGCTTGTTTTAGAGCAATTTTGAATTATTCCGTCAAACAAACCCCCGGATTTTTTCTTTTAGCTATAAACATCTAGGCACATTTCTTAATTGCCTTGAACCAATTGTAAACAACCCAAGCAAAATGACAAGTATAGGAAGCTATTGTTACTGAGGAAACAAGAACAAACAACTGCTAAAGCTCATGAAGTTGCGAAAGTCACTCCAAAGATGACTTCTTCATTAGAAAAAAAAGAAAGAAGAAAAAGAGAAATGGCTTGAAAACAAAGCCACATTCAAAATCGCAAAATCTGCCCCCAAAAAAAGTGAAAAACCACAGATGCAGTTGATGCGGGTTTCAGTTCAAGAGGCAGCTCCAATTGTCACGGTCTCCGGACCGTGGATAATTCAAAAAGAAGTGGGACCCTCAAATTTTCTATGTATTTTTGGATTATTTTTATACTCCAAAATATTGTCTAAATTATTCCCTAGAAGATACCCAGCATATTATTTAGGATATTCCTAAGGGTGGGCAATACGGTAAATGTATATAAAGCGGTAGATCTCCATCGTTAGATCGAAGAAGCAATCTACGGCTGTGATTCAATCCATACTTATATAAATAGGGGCCTCCTCCCTTCATTTGTATCATCTCACAAATTAATACAATTTAGATCTTTTCTCCTGCACGGTCATTATTTGGGATAGCAGTGGTTGATTTAATCTCATGACCCTACACTTTAAATTTTAACTCATCTTTATCAACACTTCAAATTTTAACTCATCTTAAGTTGGAATATGGCTTACCTGGAGCCTTTGGTTTCGAGGCATTTCAACTTTGAGTGACATGTGATGAATGGTGGCACCTTTCTAGTGTCGGAGGCAGTGCTCCGTGATCAACTTGTATGGATTCAAGTTTGTCAAAGCTATTCAGGCATAAAAAGCGAAGTTCTTGAAAAATGCAACTCTACTGTCAATTGACTCCTCTTGAGCACCAACCGTAATTATTTCAAATAACCCACAATTGGTTAGCTCTCACGAGTTTTTACGAAATAATCTCTCAAAATAGAAAAGTGGATATGAGACTTTCCTTTTCTATTTATTTTTCTTTCTTACGCCCACTCCAATTTGTAGTAATCTTCTTTCCTCGAATTTAAACATCCACAAAAAAAATGTCGACTTTCATGGACTTTCCTTTAATCAATCTCGGGTCATGTTTTGTTCAATGAGCTCGAACTCAAAACATCTTTTAACAGACACATTTAGATAGAGCCAAAGTAATGACCAGCTGGTGGGGCACACAAAATTTTTGTGAAGAGCATAGGAACTTCATATTTCACAACAATTCATTATATTCTACAAAGCTTTCACGTGAAAGATTCTGGCCACTAATTACAAGTAATTGCTGGAGTGGGTTTCTCCACACACGTAAGCACTTTTCTAAATACAATTTAACCCAACAAAGGGTAATCAAAAAATAATAATAATTAATTACTCATTGCCCATTGATATGAGGGCTTTCTGTGTCATATTGTGGAGCTTCATTATCTGCTGTTAGGTGGGAGCTGCTCATTGGCATCTCCACCTGCTCACATTGCATCACTTCTGGCAATTCCGGGACCCCCATGCCATGCTGCTTCAACAACAATTTTTTATTTAATATGCATTTATAACTTTTTAAATATAATTACACGTGAAAAATCATGGCAAAAGAAATTAATAAAACACAAAGTTAAACCTGAGTGTAAAAGGACTGAGGAATCATATTTGGATTGTGGGCAGTTGAAGTGTACTCCTGAGGCCAAGCTGAGATATTTCCTTCACTAGGGTTTGATACATGTGACTCTGCCATGCTTCTTGGGTCAATGCAGCTTGAGCCCGTCGCTTGTACTAACGTTTGATATAGTGAAGATGAGAGATCCCTGCAATTGTAGCTCTTCGTATATTAATGACTTGCATAATAGATGCAAAAACAACATTTGATTATGCCGGGAAGTTACGGGTTCGTCATTAGTCGACAAATAATTATTGAAGCCTTGCATTTCGGAAATTAAACTCCAAGCAAACACAAAATTACAAGGGTAAACTAAAATTATTCTACACAAGCTAAGCCATTCAATAAAATGCTCACAACTTGCCTGACTTGCATGAGAGAAGCGGATGAGTCGAAGAACTGCGCATTGTTTGGATCGTTTTCCGACAACCACCCGACATCATTGTCGAAGGAGCTCGACATCCCTTGCTGCAACTCATTATAAAGGAAATAAATAACATGAAAAACGACTATTTACACGTTTTGATAAGGTCTAAATTTTGCTAAATTACCTGCATACCGGATGGATCGTAAGGAGATAGATGGTTTACCATCAACTGCTCCTGCCAAAAAGAATATTAGCAATTTTAGCTCAGTGGTCTAATTTCCTACCATTATAATCTGTCTAATAATCCAACGAATTTAATTTTAAATATACAATGTACAATTTGTAATAGTTATGACTTGGGGCTGAACAGTGAACATGTAACTATATACAAGCACAATAACTTAAATTTTTCTACATAAATTGTTGTGTTGGTTCATTCTTGCTAATATCATAAATAAATAAATAAAAAGCATATGCATTTCAAGAATATTATGCTAAATTACAAATATTCACCTTTCTCTGCACCACGCGTTGAAGGGTGTCCACAAGAGTATTCTCAATTGACTCCAGATCCTTCAAAGATGTATTTTTTGGAAGCAGAGTCGGCTCATATATTCTGCATTTTTCAGAAGCCAAAAAGATGTCCTTCCAGTTACCGAGAATTAGCAATAATAAATAAAAGTAATTTATGACTATTAGTATAAACTTTTATTAATTTCTTTTCTAGGAATTGAGAGCAGCAAAACATGCATGATTTTTCACTCTATTCAAAATTTCTAATAAATAACAACGCGTATCCCAAAATGTCCTATTGTCAAATTCATACAGGAGCTAGTGCCCCAGCAGTCGTGCGGAGTGACTAGCAAATCGATAATTACATAAGTAACCACACCATTAAATCAAATCTAGGTGCACATATATAGATTTCTATTAGGAGTACCGTATCTGCTCGTCTGCCTCCAGAAGTTGCTGCCTCAATATGCCAATTTGCTGATGGAGCTCCTACAATACTCAGCTCAATTTAGACACCTGAAAAAAATGTTCATTTGCTACCACAAGAGCTTAATTTATCGCGGAGAAGTTCGTGTTTACCTCGGCATCGGAGTCGACTGCCCCCGGACTTTTGTCGAATCAATCAAAGATACATCGAAGTGTGGAGCAAATAAATTCATTTCGGGGTTAGTTCGATCCGATTTTACGAATATAATAAAATGAAATAGGGAGGGAGGGTCCGACACACTTTGCAATTTGGAGAGCGAGGTCATTCTCATTCCTGAGTTGCTGGAGGGTCCTGAGCAAGTACTGCGAGAGCAAATTAATTATGAGAGAAAATTGATAACTTAGAGAGAAAATTTCTGAAAAGCAATGTGAGAAGAGTGTCCATTTGCACCTCTTTATTTTGGATAGCGCTGCAAAACAAAAATTAGAGATGATTATGAGGAATCAAGTTCAGAACCAAGCACCAAGAAATTAATTAGGATAAAAAAAATTGATAAATTTGAGGGCCTACGGAAATTTGGGGTGGTCAGCGTGCGACGATCCTGGACATCTAGGACTGACAAAAGGCAAAAAAAAAAAACAAAATTATAAACAATTAATCTTGAAAGAAAAACCATAAAAAAAAAAAAAGAAGTGGTCGACATTTTTGTAAAGTTTTAATTGCATACGTGTCTCGTTCTTGGTCGGAGAGGTTAATGAAACGGGTGAACACATCCTCGATCCTGATTAAGAGATTTGTCTAGTCAAATTAAACAATTAGAAGTAGCGGAACTTCAACTGAAGCTCAAAATAAAACTGAGCATGAAATTACGAAATTAGAGGCAACAAAAAGTAGAAATTCGCGCAGAAAATGGGAAATTATTTTTCCTGATTGACATTGAAGTAATAATGATAATATATATTCGAACAATGGACACCACAAAAATAATATGAGTTAAATATTTTTCATCTTACAACAATTTAAATTCACTTTTCAAAACTAAGTTGAGTCTCGTTTCCTCTTCATACATGCATGTGTGCCTTCTTGTTTTTCTCTAGTATCTGAAGAGATATCTCATTACTGCTAACACTAATCCATCCCAGAATAACACTACTATTTGACACATGACAGAACTGTAGAGATCTCTATGCTTCTATCCTACCCATGTCGCCTCGCTCGGCTGCTACTGTCGCTCGTCGCCACCTCCGCCTCCTCACTATTTGCTGATCTCTTCCTCATGAATCAAAGGTCACCGGGCCTCGGGCGACCTCCGATTAATGGACCGTGCAAAATGAGGTCTCAACCTCAAATTAGCAGACGTGAACTCAGTAGAGAGAGAGAGAGAGAGAGAGAGAGAGAGAGAGAGAGAGAGAGTGGCGATGGCAGATGAGACGTGCAATAGGGTTGCATGGCTCGGACAGAGGTCGGCGGCGATGGTGGAGGAAGTCTCTGAGTGCAATATGCAGTGCAGAGGCTCATGGAAGAGAAGGGCAGTATTGATAGAAGAAGAAACAGAACAAAGGGAGAGAAGGAAAGCAATGATAGAAACAAGGGCGAAAAGAATCAGGACATATACTTGATGGAAACCATTGTCGAAGAAAAATGAAGACAAAAAATGCATCTAAGCTGTATAAAGTAATTTTTAGGCTCATTCTGTGTGTCATATGATTAATATAACCCAACACTGTACAAGATATGTGAGAAAGTCGGTCTTTTTTATCTTTTCCATGTGATATGCGTCATACTATTTCAATGCCAAAGGGGTTGCTCAATTGATTAACATGCTCGTGTTCCATGCTCAAGACTTGGGTTGTAATCATGACAATTATGCATTCTCTTGAAGCCATTATTGAGGATACGGACCTATGCATTTCCAATTATTATTTTGTGTACAGGGGCTATCGCACTCGAGCGGGATTAGTCGGCTACTCGAATAATCTTTGACGCCCTATTGTCAACCAAAACAAAACGAAAAAATTCTGTCTCTTCATGTGTAATTGACTTGAATTAGTAAGATGTGTTTAAATTTATTTTACCTCCTGACATATCCGTAAGCATTGCTCAAATAATCATTAGGTATGTTCAAAAGTTTAAATATTGGTCAACCTATGGAGATGATTGGGAACGACCTATGATCAATATTCATATCGTTGAAAGTACAAACAAAAAGGTCAAAAGCTTCTACATTCCCCTAATAATTTCTGTGTTGTTTATCAGAAAATGAGACAAGTACAGAATTGTCTCTTGAACTTGTCTAAAGTAATCAACAGGATTGCGGGTTCTGGAAGAAGTTCCGCTTCCTAGTTTTTTTATTTCACCCCAACAACGAAGCAATGACGGCATTTTGGCTTCTTCTCACCATGCAAATGACAAACAACATGACAAAGCATGCCAGATATCGGTCTCTCTATTACCATGTAAATGACAAAGATGACCAGCAAAAGATGCCACGATTAAATTTCGAAACCTGAAGCTCGGAGATAATTACATATCAAACACGACCAACGTTACCTTCTTTTTCCCGAAAAGTGGCTCACGCGGTCGGAGGGAGAGAACATGATGAGAGCGATGTCGATGTCGCAGAGGACGGAGAGCTCGTACGCCTTCTTGATGAGCCCATTCCTGCGCTTCGAGAACGTCACTTGGCGGTTCGTGATGTTCTCTATCCTCCTTATCTCTAGCTTAACACGACCCATCTTTTATTCGTCGCCGATGCAGTCGATCATCCTCCTAAGGAGAGGCAAAATGTTCCATTGGAGAGCTTCAAATCCTCCTCCTATTTTCAAGCTCCACAGAAATGCATCTTTCCCGGTGGATGTAATGCCAGGACAAGGAGGCCTTGAATGGAGGATTTGTTGAGAGAGAGAGAGAGAGAGAGATGGTTATGAGTTAATGGGAGAAGAGAGATGGAAGGGAGAGAATGGGGGATTTATAAGAGGAAGAGAGCCGGGTCATGGGGTGACAGATTTTGATTCTGTTGATTTGGGTTCCTCTGCATCTTTTGGACAAGGAAATTTTGGTTGTACTAGGCCCCTTTTTTTCCTCTTTTTTCTTTATATTGTGAACAAAAATAATTTGTCTTTGCTTCGTCTTGTCTTGATAAGTAAAAAAAATACTTACTTTTGGCTTTCCGCTTTCATTAAGGAAATATGTTTGAATTTCCCAAGAAATTATGCTAAAGAATACACAATTTATAAATAACTATAAATTTATTGGCCAATTATACCTGCCAGAAAAGACTTCGAATATTGAAAATATTTATATATTTTCAAAGGTTTGAGATTTCACTTTGAAATCTCAATTACTAGGAGGGAAAAGAATATCGAAAGTTTGAGATTATAAAAGTGAATGTCATTCTGACACACTAAACAATAAAAACCCTATCCATACAACTATCTTTTACAAAATAATTTTTGCCTAATGTGACGAGAATATGATTTTTTTCACAAAATAGGTCCCATGGTCTTTTGAGATTTTCAAACCATGATTGATAGACTACCAAAGTGGTGGCCCTGGTGACATCAGATTGGACCTGCACGTGGAACATTACAATAATGTTTAGAGAGTCGCCAGTGCTAATCGCTCATTTTCACTCTTTTCCATCATAAAAAGATTGGAAAAAGAAACTACATATCGTAGTACATAATGTAGTTTAATTGAGTTCCTCACTTGCCCAAAATCTAATCTTATTGATTTATAATCTACCTGAGGATTTTAACTTGGTCAACTGATTTGGAATCTCAATTACAAGCCTTAATAGATTGACAAAGACTTATGATTCAATGCACCAATCATTCAAATCCAATTTGTCTTCTTTTGGTCATCACTCACGATTGAATCCGATTAGGACTCGGTCACAATTGTGCAGAAGTCGAGAGATTTCTAACTCGAAAATGTCACATATTTAAATTTCACCAAGTGCTTGTAAGATGCCTCTTATTTAGGACCACTCATGCCGGCAAAGACCTGGACTTAGAGTGCGTTCGGCAAATACAAGTACCATTTGACAAATTTTGTGAAGAGTTTTATGGAGATGCAATTGCATTTCCAAAAGCCTCTAAAGGCATTTTGCCTAAGGCACGTCCAAATGTGCTTTGGGTTTTGAGCATTTCTAGAATGTTAATACATTTTTTTTCTACCAACTTTGTGTCGTTAAACTTTCATAATTCTAGAAATGTCCTCACCTCACACGACGTCGCCGGCGAGGCCAAAACTGGCATCGGCAACTAAGTGGCCTGAGGTCACACCAGATCTAGCTCGTTGGCCATAGAGCCCTTAGTACAAAGTGTGATATTTCCTAACACCATTTAAACCAAAGTTGCTTCTCAATACACTTTTAAATTTATAATTTATTAAACACTACCTACATTTCGAAAAATTCCTTCAACCTAAAGGCGTTTGCATTGTCCCAAAAACTTTACCCAAAAGCCAAATCAAATGTACCATTAACCGGTTATGAGAACGGTAGTCGTGCCCTTTGCGCCTGTGTTTCGGATTATAAAAAAAAAAGTAATATTTCGGAACTACACAAAAATATCCGCGGGCTCACTTAAAGCTAGAAGGAAAAAAAAACTCTATTAGCATCTGGACAAAAAACCTGGACAAAATCTAAAAGATTATATTGCGGCTAGCTTAGGCGACGTTGGTAAAATTTAATACATAGTCCCCGAATAATGCGAATGTTTTGTTATGGTTGCACGTGGGACGTCGCACGTGTCCATCTCAGCCCCGGCCTGCAGCGCGATGTTATCTTTTAAAAATTTGTCGTTTCATCGGCCAAAACCAATAAAGAAAAAACGTATTGAAAATCAAAATTGATGAATATATATGTGAAATTCATGAAATTACGCTAAAATTGCACCTTTTATCATCGATTTTTTTTAGGGCTAATACCACGAAAAACGCCATATCGGTAAACTTGTAATAAATTTACCCCAAACTAATTTTTTAACCGCGAAAAAATCAAACCGGTATACTCGTGACAAATTTACTCTTCGTTAAATTAGATTAATACCACGAAAAATCACAAACTGGTAAACTTGTGACAAATAGAGAGGCAAAACCCTAAAATGGTACATTTATCAATTGCCACGTGTCATCTAACTCAGCAATTAAAATTTAAAGGAAACTAACGGAGAATAAATTTGTCACGGGTGAACAAATCTGGAATTTTTAATGGTCAAAAAATTAGTTTAATGTAAATTTGTCACGGATGTACCAGTTTGGGATTTTTGGTGGTATTAACCCTTTTTTCGATGTACCGATAATTTTAACATCATTTTATATCACAACCGGAAGAATAATTATCTCTGAACGTTGCTTTGAAGACGCTGTTAGCCAACAATTTCTTACTTACATTGAGCTTAGTCGTGGTATTTATAGCCCGCATATCGAGGGATCTGATACTGCAAAGAGTCAATGGGCTGACAAAGCAGGATTTAATGCATGAAAACCAACGTTGGTTCTCTTTGGCAGTAACCTTTCTGTTTAAACCCAAATTATCATCACGGATGCATAATTTTTCTATGCTCTTTTTTTAAACGTTCTTATCGTTTAAATCGAGTTAAATGTTAGCGGTAGCATCGCTAACTTGGACAGATCATTGTTCGTCGAGCCCACTCTGAATAATCCTTCGTTTGCCCGGATTATCGCATACACGATAATAAAAATGCTAATTCTTGCATAAGAATTTATGGCCAAAGAGTCGAACGTGTTGGCACTTTCTCTTAGAGCATCATGAATCGGCATAGTGTTGGATCAAAAGAGGATAATAAAATCCTATTATTTTTGTGGTATATATAACAATTGGGGGTGTTGAAAAACCCCAAAAAGCCCGAAAACTTTAATTATTTTGGGGCCCAATTCAGACCCGGTCTTCGTTCTTGTTTTTTCGGGCTTCAGCGTGAGAAGCCCAAGTTGGCCTAGACCGGCCCAAAAATTATTTCATAAAATTACATAAATCGAACATATGGAAATAAGGTAAGGAATGAAGTATTTATTCTTGAGAGACCCTTAAAAAGGAAGTTGAAATTAATAATAAAACGTGTAATTAGCCGAAATCCTGAAAAAGTGGGTCGAAAAATCGAAAATCGGACTTTTCGGGCTCCTAACGAGCTTCCAAATTAGTATAATGTGCCCATTAACTCAATTTGAGTAATTCTAAATTCGAGGTGCACGATTATTGTTCAAGCGAATGTAATCCATATGTTTTAGAGTAATGTCATATTAATTATTTGATAATTGCATGTTTGAGTCTTCAAACTTGATAAGCCATGAATAATAATTCCAAAAGTATGTGAATATGTACTTTTGAAAAATTGGGTTCTGGGCCCAAACTTCCCCGACCAGGACCGATTTAAAGTGTTACTTTCATTTTCCATCCATCTCCCATGATTCGATATTTTTGATATTTTCGTTGACAGTGAAAATACTTTTCATTCATTTATTTTTGTGCGCAAAGTGTTTGTTTTTAGAAAAATATTTTTCAAATATTCATTTTTCGCGAAACAAACGTAGACTATGTATTGGAGGAAGCAAATTCATGACGTAGTGTTCCAGCTGACCTAAGTCTAGAAGTCGCCTGAGAAATATCTGAATCCATAAATTATTGCCTGCATATACTTTAAATGATGAAGGTACCTGGACCGTCCATCTTTCTTCTCGTGAGAGTATGGACCTACGCAACTAATGGTCATGTCGCTATTATATGTTGACAAGTCATTGATTAATTGGATTTCGGAAGTAATTCCAAATCATTATCACATTGCTTAGTTATATTTTAGTTTCTTTTCTTTTTGGGTTGATCCACATAGATTAGGTTGAGTCGTCACGGATGATGTTAGAGCTAGTCGTCTAGTGGATGTATGGTTTGCAGACGGATCAAGCCCTTAGTATGTTCCATTAAGGCGAGGAGTGGTCGCGAGGGTGAGAAAGCTCAACTGGATATGATTCCTAGCAAATTTCTAGAAGGGCAAATGAAATGGAAATGAACCGAATTACTCATCTAATGGCAGGGGGTTATCGCTAGGCAACGTGGATTTATATTGACAAAATCGTCACTACTTCAGGTGGGGAGTTTGTAACGTACCCCAAGTCCCACATTGGATGGGAGAGATCGAGTGAACTAATTCATTTGTAAAGACGCGTCCCCGATGGTCGTCACCCTGAGCAGACACGGTAAAATATTCCTTTTCAAAGCTCGACTTACATGGATCGGGCCATGAAGTTTCTTAGTTTCCTTTGTCGGTCTTAGTTAATTACCGTGATATGAAGTTTATCCATACCCCTAGAGAGAGAGAGAGAGAGAGAGCTGCGCTTGCCGCCACCGCCGCCACCACAGTTGGATGGATCTCACTTGGGGTCCTCACGAACATGTTGCCTAACATCGCAGCGGTGCGGCCATCCGGTGTCCTCAGAGAGATTATTGCCTTAGTTTAATACAACAATCACAGTTTAGAGACCATTTTTGTTCAAAAAGGAGAGTCTATGCACCTCTAAAATTTCAACCGAGCGGTCTATCGAGGACAATCGCTCTTTCTTTTTTGGGTAGGATCCCATGATGATCGGTCCAATAATTTGTGTCTCACATCTTTGCAAAGATGGGAAAAATGGAAAGCAAAGCATCCATTCCAATTGCGCAACCGCGTTGCGGTTTCTCCTTTCTCGCAGTCAAAGCGTTCATGAATTTCAATCGCCAGACCTTCCAATCTCGTACGAGAAAAGAGCAAAGTTCCCCTCCCCCTTCGCACTTGCTTGACATTTGTAGAAAAATGACTGGGGTCAATTAATTTTTACGGCCCGACCAAGATCACGTTCCACCCAGCCTCGCAGGCAAAAGAAACAAATAAAATAAGATAAAGTCCGAAGAGATTATGTCTAACCCCAAACTTGTAATTTACGCGCTTGACTAATATAATGTTTTGCTTCTTTGAGGGTACGTGGCTAGGACCATTGAAAAAGTTGCGCCAAACACGTAAAAGAAAAAGAAATCGCAGACAATCATGCAGAATAAAGGTCAATCGATCGAACGTAAACATCTGGACTCAACGTTACCTGCTCTGGATAACAACCACCCCCACTGAACTTAATGGAAAGATTTCGTGTGACGGTGTTCTTGATCTTGCGATGATACATGGTCATACCGCAGAATAATATCCATCCGCTTCCTAAATTCGGCGTTCGAAACCCTCCTCGTAAAATTAATTATTATGTTGTGATCTTTCGTTCTTTCCTAAATGCATTTAGGACTTTTGATCTTGTGAGTCTCGCATGGCCGATGCAAGAATCCTACAAAATAAAAAGCAATGATGTACTCGATCCACTGAACTCAAAATCCTTACAAGAATGCCCATCTATCTATCGGCGGACCGATCGACTCGGACCACAATGAAGTGGTAAACAAAAGTTTCATCATTTGAATTGGCCAAAAATCATCATATCTGATTCATTACTTCAACAAACAAACTTACTGTCCGAAAACACTTCCAAGATAATTACAGTGATCTAGGTAACGTTGTGGATCACATATATATTATATATATGCACGGCGTTTACATGATGGAGCAGGCGTTTGGGTTCTCGTCACTGAACATGATGGTGTAGCGGTCGTCGACGGTGGACTCGCTGATGGTGGCGGTCACGGGGACGGCGCGGACGTGGTTGGCGGGGGCCTTCTTGTCGTAGGCCTGGGAGACGTAGGGGTGAGCCACCAGAGTGTAGGGGACGTAGGGCCACGGCTCCACCTTCTTCTTGGTGGACTTGGCCGCTTTCAACACCCTCTTCTGGTCCACGTACCCCGTCACCGTCACCTTCTGCTGCTTCAGGTCCACTTCCACCGATTTAGCACCTGCATTAGACGTTCCGCAGATCGTGAGAATCACAGCTTCGTGATCACAAAACGCGAACGAGTCGAACTAACGATTATTCAACCAAGAAACGAAGTTATGAAGCGAGAAGGGCTAGTGAAATGACCTTTGACGGAGGAGAGGACGCTCTTCATCTTGCGAGCGCAACCCTCGCAGTCCATCCTGACCTTGAGGGCCACGGTCTGGATCTGCTTCTTCTTCTTCTTGCTGGTCACACTGCTCAGCAAGTTGGAGAAGTATTCTATCGTTCCTTCCACTCCCATCTCTCTTCTTTTCTCTCTTCTTCTTTCGTTGTTCTTGCACTGTAAGTGCGAGTGACTAGGCGTGCATGAGGGTTGATTGTCTGTGAGGCTAAGAGCTCGAGGATGGCCTTACGGGACAAAACCGATGCTTTTCTGGCGTCAAACGACAGGGGTTTATATAGCGAGAGCACTGGCCCAAAAACACGGCTTTAGGATAATTGATAAAGAAAGATGAAAAAAGAGGACAAGAATTTCTTCCGAAACATAGATAAGAAGGCATGTTTTTTTGGTTTTTCTACTTTTATTTTTCAAGATGATGAAGTGGGGTCTCTGGCAGATAGCTAGAAGCTGCACGAAACTTCTCTCCCAAAATGCATGCAATAAAGAGGTGTATATTCCCTCTTACCTTACAAAGTAGAAAAGATGAGAATGGGTTCAAGTAGGGCTGCTTTCAACTTTCCGTTCATCAGGGAAAAACTTGATATTCTCTTGGCATGTGAAAAGAAAAAATTGCGATTGATGGATAGATAGATAGAGCATAGTTTATCAAAGGGGTGTCATCTTATTGTATGCACACATCTATTTAGCATGGCGTGCTCGATTTGTTAACGAACGATGGGGACAACTCGAATTTACGAACTTAATCCATGAAAGGGGTATTCCTAGGACAAACTCTATGATTCCATCTAGCTGATAGTAACCATATTTATACACTTTAATCTTAATTGTTCCTTTAGCGTATAACACAAACATGCACCCTCATGTTTAATCAAACTTAGTCCACGACAGGCAAACAAGATATTCAATTTTATTTAAATATGTATTATAAACCCATCCATCGGCACTCACCATGTAGATGAATTTTCTTTTGATAATCCAAGAGAACAACAGTAATCAGTCGACAATATAAAAGGAACTAACACGACAACCCATTATCATGACCCCTACACTTAAATCCGAGTTTCCCAGGTAATGACTTGAACCGATAACCATCGGTTCTCGAGTCAAAACCATGAAAATGCTGTCGTCACAGGCCGAATTCTAGGGTAAGTACCAAAGGAATTCATTTTAGTAAGAACTTTATTTACTTTTTCTTTTTTGTTTTAGCCCCTCTACATAGTATCGAGGAAGTTGTTCGAATACTTTTACACACTAAACATTGGGGTCAAAAACCAATTATAACCTACATCGTTATTGTAAAGGAAAAAGAGACCTCGTCAAAAAGCCAGCAAAAATTAGAAGATTCTTCCTTCGTCCCCCGAGTAAGGGGGATTACTAAATTAGCTTAATCCCCAGAGGGAGGACCCCCTCTCCAAATTCGGATGGCCTCATCGGCCGCCACGTTTCGGCAGATCCTGCCGACACTTGGAAGTGAAAAAGATCGACGGCTCCGATTCTGATCACGTGGCGACCAATAAGATTACTGATAGGAAAAATTGGGGACGAGGGTTTAGCTTAAACGTGTTGACAATGTTTACGAGATATTGGCCATTTCTGGTTTTTTGGCCGATTGTGATTGGGCACTATAAAACCGGGGCGGTGGGACTGTAGAAAATAATAAAGATACCAATCAAAGGAATATATAATGGGGTTGGCAGTTGGGACACGTGGCGGCATGTAGAAGCTCGTGCAATTGAAGCAAAACATTTTTTTTTTCAGAATATAAAATAAAGTCCCCAACCATCTGTCCATCTGCATGAAAACGATATAATAAAAGCTCGGATTGACTGATTTTTCTCTCTCGTTACTATATTTCCGCAACATGATTGGTGCGCGGCATGCATGGACGGTTCAGATCCTGAAATTCTGCCTTTGAATCCTTAACCAAGAAGGAGGTTGTTCTTTTTTTTTTTTTGCATTTTTCGTGGGTAATCCTAATTTAATTGGAATTGACCGCCGACCAAAACGAAGTGCTTTTATCCATAGACGCGTTTCAATTGATTTGACCATCTTATGTAAGATTAAAGTCTAAAATCAGAGTATCTTGAAAGATTTCATATGGTAAGGTAGTTCAGCTGACTTTTTACCTTATTTTTAGGGATAAGGTGATGCTTTTGATGTTACTAGTTTGGAACCTTGGACGGACCGCCGATGATGGTGAGGACGACATCGAGCCATCATGCCCCTTATGCCCTGAGCAACACCCGTGCTACAGTGGCCAGGACAAAGGGTTGTGAGCCTGCGAGGGTGAGCTAACTCCAAAAACCCATCATCAGTTCGGATTACAAGCTGCAAGTCACCTGCATGTAACCAGAATTGCTAGTAATCGTCAGTCAGCCATACGGCGGTGAATTCGTTCCTGGGCCTCGTACACATTGTTTCGTTTGGCCTATAAAGATTTTGAAATCACTTTTGAAATTGGAAAATGTGTGCTCGGTATAATTCTTTGTATAAGAGCGAATTAACATTTTAATTCTAGGCTTCATTTGTTACGCGGAAAATGAATTGTTTGGAAAATAATTTCCTGAAAATGATCACTTATTTAACTTACACAAATGAATAAATGAAAAAACTTTCGTCGTTTACGAAAATGTTCAGACATAAATTGTTGTCGTTAATGAAAACATTTTTTCTTTGGCTAATTATTTCAAACGATACAGCGATCAATTTTCTAAATTATTCATTTTCTGCGAAACAAACGGAGCCTAAAGTTCTTACAAGTAGAACACACAGGCTAGTTGATTTTCAATGTTTGAAATGCATTCTCCTACATTTTCCCCTTCTTCATTTTTGCTTATTTTCAATGTTTCTTCAATAGTCTACACGCGCACACGGACACACACATGTTAGAGAGAGAGAGAGAGAGAGAGAGTTTGTGATTATGGATTGGTAGGGAAATATGTATTTAGAAAGGTAAATTTACTCACTTTTATCCTTATGAAAAGTGTGCAAAATGATGAAGTGAATGCTTGTGAAATCAAAGCTGCAGGAGTTGTTAGGACCACAATATTGTCAAATTATAAAGTTTATGAAATGTTTAAATCACTCATGTCAATGAGACTTATATTAGAGTTCATGCAATGTGAAAACGCTAAGGATAGGTGCATTTCTTTCACTGCATAGCACATCGACATGATAGCCGATACATTTAGGCCTATATAGAGGATAAAATCCCCTAGCCCAAAAAGAAAACACGCATTTACGTGACGAAAGAAAGTATAGATTACACGAGTTTAAGAAAGTAAAATTCTCGTTACAACGATGCACATTTCATCTAATATAAGGGCTTTGTTGCAATGAGTAAACATCGCAATCTACGAAACGAATTTTGAGAGGCAAGATCAATCTGTTGGGCTTATCTAGATATTCATTTACTTAATGGTAGAATCATCATAATCTGTACATGCATGTACATATATAGCCAGTCTTTTCAATTTAGAGAATGTCTGTCCATATGTTTCATTAATGTTTCGGCGTACAGTTTTTTTTTTTTTTTGGTAACTTAAGGAACCCCCGCACGGCCGACAGCCGGGGGGTAAACCCTGAGGGCGACACGTGCTAGCCACCACACACGTGCCACCGGTTAAGTCACCATGCGGCACCCGGGATTCGAACACTCAACCTTTTGCGAGAGGAATAGTGCGCGCTCCAGCAGCGCCACCCAGGCGGGTGGTTGTTTCGGCGTACAGTTGACTTGTTCTAGTTATATAAAAGGTTTAAAAATTCTTATTTTTCCTTAAATTTAAATGAGGGTGGTTGTTAAAATTTAATGTAAATACGATAATGTTACGGGCTTCCCATGTGGAGTTACTAGGTTTGCGGAGTACGACAATTAATGAGATCCATATGAAGACAATGGCTCGTTAGTTATGGGCGGTGACCGCTCGAGCATTGACTCTCTGGTCTCTCCCCTCTAGTCTTTAGCTACCCCTTCACATTACGTGCACACATTGTCTTATCTACCGTGGGCAAGAACATGACTAATCCAAAGAGACTAGCAAACAACAGATGCTAGGGTTTTGTAAAAATGGAGGGAGACCTTTGGTATTCTTCAATCAGTTTGACAATAAGGGTCTCGAGGGATAGTTACCACATAAGTCCTACACCTATTGTACGGACGACAATTCAGTCCTAAATTTTTCGATTTTATCTATGTAATTTTAAACTCTTGCGCAAAATTTCAATTTAGTCATTTCGGCCGATCATCATTGGGAACTGTTGACGTGGCATTCGATCATCGCCGGCCATTTTACGTGACACATTGACGTGGAAAACTTTACTTGGAAAAACATCCTCCGTGGACTGCCACGTCAGCGTTTTCCCGCTTGAATTGGTCAGAAGGACTATATTGAAATTTCCCATAAAGGGTAAGGATCACATTGGCAAAATTGAAGTATTTAGAACTAAATTGGCATCTATAAAATAGGTGTATGATTGAATTGATAATTTTCCCAAGTTTCAATCATTGAAAAAAAGTAAAAAGTGTTTCATATGATTATGCAATAATTAGAGTGAGATTTTCTTAATTACTGTTTGATGTTCTCCCGACAAATCATTATGTGCGTCCAAAGCATGTTGGTGTAGCTGTCTTAATATCGGTCTTCAAATATCTTGGATTCACCATCGTCTTACTGTTGATCTTCTGAACTCTTATCAAACTTGTAGTTATAATTCTTGATTTCTTCATGCAATCAAGACTCCGACTTGCTTGATATAGGCACTCAAATTCTTTTTGTCACGTGTTTGTCCATTTTTCATATGTGATAACACTGATGCGGACAATAGAAGAAGAGAAGAGGGCAAAAATTTATCCGATCGCAACTTCGTACTTGTTAACGGAGAGGGCGGGTTTGGCCCTTGTCGTGGCTAGGGGAGGGCCGGCGAGCCCTCAGCCCAATTATACAATTGCTAGGAGAAAAGTCAATTGCATGTTAATTAACAAGAGCTAGAGGATTTAAGTGTACAAAAAAAAGAATGTAGGAAGATACTTTGCACAAACAAGTTCAAGAATCAAAATTAACTATTTCACAAGTGTTTGGAAACAAACATTATGATCAATCCCGATATTGTTTCATCTAAACAAATATTATACCGAGATAATGATTCGTCAAATTATGAATTTTCTGAAAGGTACTATTTATAAATCATGCGCAATCACATAATCGTGACAGCTCTCTACTCATAGGTTATTAATCTAAACATCTGCTGTGATGGC